GGCCGATTGATAAGTCTCAACCGGACCGGACCGAGAACGGGCGCCCGGTCAGGGCATCTCTGGTTGCATATGCAGACGAATCGAGTTAAGAGTCTCTTTTCCGACTAGTAATCTAGATGTACAAAATGATACTAAATATGGTTTTTTCTGTCATATTTTCTACTTATAAAAACGAAGAAGTCGCTTTTTCGAAGAGCCCACTCTGAGCTGTCTCCTAATAGTAAAAAATCGACAGATGTATACTTCAACTTTTAGGCTGGACCGGTTTACAACGATCTTCGAGAAAACCTACTTTAAAGCAGTAGGTTCGAATTGGACAATAGCTACGTAATCGATGAGCACGAAGAGTTTGGGAAAAAGTTCATATTCAGCCTGATATATAAGTGTACGCAGATAAATTTTTACAGTTATATGAACAACTGAACAAAACCTTGGAAAACTCAAACACTTTTTTCTGTTCACTCTAATGAAATATTGTATATGACAACACAATAAATGAAAGGAAATAGAGAAGGAATTCTTTTGAATTATTATATTATATATAAATAATAATGTCTCCATTTTTAGATACTTTTCTTTTTCAGATCTTTATTAATATGTGAAATTTAATAAAAGTCTTCAACACGCTGTTGAAGAAGAATNGCAAAATAAATATTTTCCCCTTTTAGACGACGACGAGATGTTTTCCATTCCCGGAAAACAACATCTCGTTGTCGTCTAAAAGGGGAAAATATTTATTTTGCCGGAATAATAAAAGAGAACATGTACTATTTGGTTTAAACACAGTCGGTGTTGTTTGCTTTCCTGTTGAATAAAAAGATCTGTTTTTTTAGTAAAGTCAAAGCGTTTTCGAAAGAAGTTGGTTTAGAAAAAAGATTGCGACAACTACTTGTGTTTGTTCGTACAAGGTTTACTTTCTTTTATTAAATTTCACATATTAATAAAGATCTGAAAAAGAAAAGTATCTAAAAATGGAGACATTATTATTTATATATAATATAATAATTCAAAAAAATTCCTTCTCTATTTCCTTTCATTTATTGTGTTGTCATATACAATATTTCATTAGAGTGATTGATCCATTCAACTATGGCTAGTTGCATACAAAGATGCAACCGGTCAAAAAAATCATGACCGTTACCGGCCGGTCACCGATGACCGGTGACCATGTGGCGCCAGGACTGACCGGTTGACCGACCATTTTTCTAAAAATTTTGACCGGTAAACGACCGGTAGTCGCATTTCTCAAGAACTCTTTCGGAATAGTAATTGCTATAAGAACAGTGAGCCTTTGGCGTTTCTTCTCATTTGGAATAAAGAATTTGCCCCCCACCCTCACCGTATCACAGACAGTTACACAACAGACATTAGTCAATACATTCACGCATTATGTACAGACCAGAAATATATGAATATTTCAAACAGAGAATAATGAATGCAATTATTATCTTGTTTGAGCAGTACAAAATGATACTCAATATGGTTTTTCTGTCATATTTTCTACTTATAACCCAAGCAGACTGGGCCCGGTTCAGCAGTTTGACCGAAACCGGTCGAACCGGCCGATTGATAAGTCTCAACCGGACCGGACCGAGAACGGGCGCCCGGTCAGGGCATCTCTGGTTGCATATGCAGACGAATCGAGTTAAGAGTCTCTTTTCCGACTAGTAATCTAGATGACAACTAGTCGTACATTGCCCTTGCTGATGAAATATATCTAGATTTTTTCCATAGAGGATGACTGCTTGGGTATGTCTTTGAGTACTGGTGTCTTCCGAATCAAGATGAAACGTCTCACTGGATAAATTTATTCTTCATGTTGCTCATGATATCGTCTCTCTTATTACAATCTATCGTGCTTTTAATTAAAAGTAAGATTCTTACAAGAAAGCCCATTACAGTTTTATTTATAGAGTTAAATAAATATATGTGATCTGTTTCGTAAAATTGTTTAATGTTGTTTTAATAAATAAATTGCAAATAGCATCGATTCTTTCTTTTTCAAATGATATATTAATGAAAAACTCGGTAAGAAAGAAAGAATCATACTCTCGATGCAATCGAGAGTGCATTTATCGAGCAATGCATTTACCTGTCATTCTAATAATGATCTGTTTCACCACGATAAATGTTCGTTCCCAAGGGTATCAGTCGATTGCTACTTTATCGAATCGTGGTACCGAATTTCAACCAGTAGTTCCTAGTGAAACTCTAAGTATCATCTTCATAGTGAAATCTTTGATGAACTGTTTTGCTTATTGTAATCAAAACTCACAATGTCGAACGTTTGATTATGACACATCGATACAACGTTGTAGATTATTTCAAGAACTGATGACCAGAGATAATGTTGTAGAATCCCAGTCATCAGCATCAATCGTCGGGGGTATCAATTATACTCCGCAGTTGTACTTGGGGTACAACCAGACATGTGATCAATGCCAACTGAATCGTTATTTGACATGTGCAAATGGTGGAGGAGAATGTCAATGTCTACCAAACACATTCTGGAATGGGATAATATGTGCAAATCAAATGTACAATGGAACAGCTTGCAACGGTAGCGATTGGTGCAGAAATGACTTAAACATACATTGTTTAAATCAAGTGTGCATTACATTAAGTACGTAGGATAATCCTTTCTTCTGAGCAAAAATTATAGCTACACCCAAGTAGGTGTCACCTATGGCAAAAATCTAGATACATTTCATTTGCAATCGGGCAATGTACCACTAGTTGTCGCCTAGATTACAAGTTGGAAAAGGGACTCTTAAAAAGTTGAGCAAAATTTTTTTCAATTTATTAAGCATCGTTCGATAGAGCTTTTCGAGCTGATTAAGAAAATGTATCTTACAACGTTCAAAACTTGATTTGCATGTCGGAAAATCGAAAAAGTCGACACGCCGCAAAAACTCGGAAGTCGCTGAAAATCGAAACGCTTCGAATTTTCGTCCTGCGTAGTAATATATAACTTTCAAACTAATTTTTTCTTATTCCGCGTCAAAAACTGAATAAGAAACGTAATTTGATAAAGTTGAAAGTTAAAGGATTCTTCAGTATGGACTTCCCAAACTAGTACTCTCAAATGGCGGCATCGACTTTTGTAAACCTGTCTAGTTTTATGTGTTCAAGGCTGAAATCGCCATTTGGATGTCATTATATTTGCTGAAAGCTCAGTTTTAAAAGTATGAGTTGCTTCTTTTAAAATTCTCTTTTGTTACTGACAAAATTCTAAAACGTTTTTCATCCTGATTCCGAATATAGTAGTTTTATTACGTAGACGTTGAGTTTTGTTAGAGAAATTTGGAAATTACAGACAGAATTCCGACTTATTCGCTTCTGATTTAGAAAAAATGAATTTTCTCAGTAACAAAAGAAAATTTTAAAAGAAGGAACTCATACTTTTGAAGCTGATCTTTGAGTGAATATAATGACGTCCAAATGGCGGCTTCAGCCGTGAACACATAAAACTAGAGAGGTTTAGAATAGTCGATGCCACCATTTGAGAGGACTACTTTTGGAGGTCGATATTGGACAACCCTTTAACTTTCAAGTTTATGAAACTAGGTTTTTGTTATTCAGTTTTTCAAGCTACATATTACTATGAACGATTTTCGAGCTTTTGCGGTGTATCGAGTTTTTTTTTCACATGAGTTTTCGACATGAAAAACACGTTTTCAGACGCTGTAGAATTTTCTGAAGTACATTTTCTGAATCAGTTGAAAAGCTTTATTGAACGATGCATAATAAATTGAAAAAACATTTTGCTCAACCGTTGCATTACGCGCACCTTAGAAAAGTTCACGTTCTATGGTGAAAAATCACTGCGGAACCCGTTCGTTTCTCAGGAATTTTTTCCAAAAACATTTTTTTGTTTTGCATTGACGGTTTTTTGGAGAATCTTCGAAGTCAGAGGAGATCGACAGTTACAGAGGTACTTGGGAAAGGCTCAAGTGACAGATGTCCGAAAACATCTCTTCTTTCTTGCAGGCAATTCTACATCGACAGCAACAAACTCAACAACATCGACATCCATACACTATGCAAATACATCAACAACAAGCAAAACGCCGACAACATCAAGTTCAACACGGACATCCACAAGCCAAATGTCGACATCAACTAGCACAACATCCACGTCAACAAGCACAACAACGTCATCAACAATAAGCACAACAACGACATCAACAACCACACCAACAAACACAACATCGTCATCGAGTAAGTGACGGACCATCAATAAAGTTGAGCGAAATAATCTCGATTTCGGAATATTTTCTCCGTTATTTTTCCTAACATTTTTTGCACATTGACAGTTTTTTGGAGACTCTTCAAAGTCCGAGGGGATGGACACTTACACAGATGCTCGGGAAAGGAACAAACGGACAGTTCTCCGAGAAAATTCCTTCTTTCTTATAGCCAATTCAACAACAACACGGACAAGCACAGCAACGTCATCAACAATAAGCACAACAACGACGTCAACAAGCACAACACCGACATCAACGAGCACAACATCGACATCAACAAGCACAACAACGACACCAACAAACACAACGAGTAAGTGACCGTTTACTAATAAAGTTGACCGAAATAATCTCGATTTCGGAATATTTTCTCAGGCGCTTGGAAAAGGCTCAGCTGACAGATGCCCGAGAAAATCTGTTCTTTCTTACAGCTAATTCAGCAACAACACGCACAACGACAACAACCACATCAACCAGCACAACATCCACATCAGCAAACACAACACCGGCATCATCAAGCACAACACCGGCATCAACAAGCACAACAACGCCATCAACAAGCACAACAACGACACCAACAAACACAACATCGTCATCGAGTAAGTGACAGACCACCAATAAAGTTGAGCGAAATAATCTCGATTTCGGAATATTTTCTCCGTTATTTTTCCTAACATTTTTTGCACATTGACAGTTTTTTCGAGAATCTTCAAATTCGTAGGGTATCGACACTTACACAGGCGCTTGGGAAAGGCCCAACTGACAGATGCCCGAGAAAATCTGTTCTTTCTTACAGCTAATTCAGCAACAACACGCACAACGACAACAACCACATCAACAACCACAACAAGGACATCAACCAGCACAACATCCACATCAGCAAGCACAACACCCGCATCATCAAGCACAACAACACCATCAACAAGCACAACCGCGACACCAACAAACACAACATCGTCATTGAGTAAGTGACGGACCATCAATAAAGTTGAGCGAAATAATCTCGATTTCGGAATATTTTCTCCGTTATTTTTCCTAACATTTTTTGCACATTGACAGTTTTTTGGAGACTCTTCAAAGTCCGAGGGGATGGACACTTACACAGGTGCTCGGGAAAGGCTCAACTGACAGTTCTCCGAGAAAATTCCTTCTTTCTTACAGCCAATTCAACAACAACACGGACAACAACGTCATCAACAATAAGCACAACAACGACATCAGCAAGCACAACAACGACACCAACAAACACAACATCGTCAACGAGTAAGTGACCGTTTACCAATAAAGTTGACCGAAATAATCTCGATTTCGGAATATTTTCTCCGTTATTTTTCCTAACATTTTTTGCACATTGACAGTTTTTTGGAGACTCTTCAAAGAGGGGATGGACACTTACACAGGTGCTCGGGAAAGGCTGAACTGACAGTTCTCCGAGAAAATTCCTTCTTTTTTACAGCCAATTCAACAACAACACGGACAAGCACAACAGCGACATCAACGAGCACAACATCGACATCAACAAGCCCAACATCGACATAAGCCGCGATAAGTAACACAACTCCATCCCCACAACTGAACAAAACTTTGGAAAACTCAAACACTTTTTTCTGACTTTACTAAAAAAACAGATCTTTTTATTCAACAGGAAAGTAAACAACACCGACTGTGTTTAAACCAAATAGTACATGTTCTCTTTTATTATTCCGGCAAAATAAATATTTTCCCCTTTTAGACGACGACGAGATGTTTTCCATTCCCGGAAAACAACATCTCGTTGTCGTCTAAAAGGGGAAAATATTTATTTTGCCGGATTCAACGTGGTCGATTACCTATGTTTACATGTATTTTCGGGATTGCTACACTTATAGAAATATTGGCCCTGAAACTGTAAGGAAATCCGATGTCACGCCTGAACCGGAAAAAATTAAGGGTTTGCTTAATTCCCATTTTGCAGCGGACACTTTGAACTATCTATGTCGAAAGATCGAGCTATTTCTATGTCAGTTCTCAGAGATCCAAGCTGTTTCGAAAGATCTGCTTAAAATCCGATCTTTGAATCTTTTTAAATAATCACTTTTGCTTGTGGGGATGTGTCGCCGTTCGCCTATTCAACTTTCGTCAGTGTTCGCCAGTAGACATTCGCCAATAGGCGAATACTGAGGACAGGTACTGGCGACTGTCGCCGAGACATTCGCCGTAACTGGCGACTGTCGCCGAGACATTCGCCATAACTGGCGACTGTCGCCGAGACATTCGCCGTAACTGGCGACTGTCGCCGAGACATTCGCCATAATTGGCGAATGTCGTGTGGACAATGGCGAATGTCGTGTGGACATTCGCTAATTATGGCAAATGTCGTAGGGGTACTGGCGAATGTCAATCTGGCGGATGTCGTGTGGACATTCGCCAGTCGCCAATATGGCGAATGTCTATTGGCGAAAGTTGAATTGGCGAAACGCGACTTTACCGCTGGTGGACAGATACGTACAGGTCTTGGCTATCGAACAGTGAAAACCGTAGGCCTTTGTCTATCTTCTATCAAAAGTTACGCGAAAAGCAACCGCCTGCCTTGTAGTTTGGGACGGATAGTAGATCAGTATTATGATATATTTGTTTTGTCTTTTTCAGCATAGCTAATAGTAAAATTGAATTTATATCCTTTCCAATATGTGATCACTCTGTATGCGCTGAGTTCTTGATTTTGTCTATACCTCTGTGATCGACTGAAATATGGCGAAGTCATATTAGTTCACTGTTGGTAAGCAAAATGAAAACACTCAATTAGGCAATCGGATTCGAAACACATTGACATCCATAATGATTGACAACCAGAATAGAAAAACTACATTTTTTCCATGGTCTAAATATACTTCGAATCATGACACTACTGGAACTAATGCTAGAACATTCACAATTGTCAGAATGTTATTTCTATAAAGAAACACAGATCTTATTCAATCAATATGGGTACTTTAACACAGCAGCTGGCTCTTCAGTTTGGGTTCGGATTTTCTAGAAAGAAATGGGTTTTTGAAGTCTTTTTAAACCACTAACTGATTATAACTGACCCCGCCTCTGTTGGTAGTTTGTCAATTTGACTTATACCCGGGAATCGAATCCGATACTCATTCAAAAAATATATTCCTCACCATGATATCACCTACACACGGTGGGATGGGGTTGTGTTAGTTATCGCGCCTTAATTCTGTCCAAACTGTTCCGAACAGATTTTGATACTACTTCCATCACACATTTCTATTCTCAATTTTTGCATGATTGCTGATTAAACTTGTTGACAAGTTTGGTCGTGGTCGTACAGGAACAATTATTTCAATCGTTATTGGAATTTTATTCAATGTGTGGGGTGTGCTTATTGGCACAGAAGTATTTGTAGTACTTACCGAAAGCAGAGACATGTTACTTTAGCGGATGACGCCATATGAAAAAACGACCAATTATACAAACAGTGACTTCGATCAACTCGAACTGCCAGAGTACTTCATCAAAGTAGCTACGAATTTAGAGTATAAACTGTATCGTACCATTTTAACGTATTTTTAAAGTAACTCAAGTACGTGAAGTTTTGAAGATGTATCGTGCACAACAAGTACTTAATGAACTACAATCACTACTAGATCAATTAATTATACGACCACTTAATAGATGAAATATAGGCACTGTATTGGTATACCCTGTAAATATTTTATATAAAATAGTCTGTTTTGTTTTCTTGAGTTGAAGTGCACCAGCAGTTCGATTAAACTGTCAACATTTTTCTTATAATGTCGCATTATTTGTATGAGAAACATATATAAAATTGAATTTCTCTGGTCTATAAATGAAAAAAACTGAAAAATGTCTTGTAGTAAATAAATTATATTGAACAAATAAACAAAGAAAGTAAAAAATGATTATCTAATTATCTTGACTTAACAATTTTGATAGTATAGCGTGCTGGACAGATGGAAGCTGCTCAGATTAATCTTCTTAACGAGAAAGGACAGGGAACGATAAGAGACAAAATCGGCCCATGCTCAAATCAGTCTTATGTTAACTCATCTGGTGCAGTTTTTCGCCGCGAACAACGCTAACATATTTTTAGACCTTAAAAATCCTTTTCAGCGCTCCTAGAAACATTTTAGCAAAAAAACTATTCTCGCGTTAAACGACCTTTACTCAAACTATTTACATTATTATTCCACCACTTTCACCCATATATCGACTATTATACACCGTTCGATAGAGAATTTCACGGGCTACAAAATAATATATAAAATAGTCTTCCGAGAATGTAACTCGATAGTCTAGGATCCGAACTACTCGGCAGCATCTCAACAAACCGATAGAGCAACGTCGTACATGTTTACCATAATGACTAATTTTCTTTAGTCGCTCCACTTTATATATGATTCGATATAGAATTTCACGAGCTTCAAAATGAGCTCTCAAAAATATGCGTACATTGATCGATAGTTGAAATACTTAGACGATATAATGATTTTCACCGATCTTAGTGCTTTAAACACTCCGTTAGTCATTTTTCTGCCATAATGAAAAATTATGTATTTCTCGAAAACATGCCATTAGTTAGCCGTTGAAATTTTCTTCAAAGTCAGCTGGTCATATTACCCAGGCAGGTGAGACCAATCATTAAAAATATAGAAAAGAAGCTTTTGGGTGTTATCTAAGCAGTACAGTATGTCGACGAGTAAAGGTCGTTTAACGCCAAAATAGTTTTCTTGCTAAAATGTTTCTAGGAGCGCTGAAAAGGATTTTTAAGGTCTAAAAATACGTTAGCGTTGTTCGCGGCGAAAAACTGCATCGGATGAGTTAACATAAGACTGATTAATCAGTCATTAATCGGCCCATGATCAAATGATGGTTTGAGCATGGGTCGATTTTGTCTCTTATCGTCCCCTGTCCCTTGATTTTATTGTTTCTGTCACACTAATAAAATTTTATTCAAACTGAAAATACGCGTGTTTTATTGAACAGCGCTGATATTTTTAAGTTGTTGCGGCATACCAGTAGCAGATTCAGAATTTTTCTCTTATGTGCCACGCTAGGTAAGTAAAAGGTAATTTCGCAGTTCGACAGAAACAGTTTTCGACAGTGTGTTTCGACACTGTCGAATTTCCATTGAAAAATTTCAGAAAGGCACAAGAGGGTAATGCCGTAAAAGCGCAGGGTGGGCGGACAGGGATGGGCCTGAGAGTGAGTCACCAGACCATGTTCAATGTCCGGCCAATAAGCCCCGGGGACTATTAATAGTTTTTTTCCTAGAGACATAATGAAATGGTGACGTAAAGACGTTGGGACTGTTTACGCCTCTATGTGTTTACGCTTTTGCTTCTCTAGTAGAGAAGTGAAAGGAAAAATCTCTCGAATTTCTAGTCTGTTCGAAAATTTTCGCTCGAAAGTCGACAGTGCCGAAAACTGACTGTCGAAAAGTACAACTGTCGAACGGCGACAAATTCGAAAAGTAGGAGTAATCGCTTGTACCGCTCACTGGCTGGATCCACCAGTGACTCAAACTTGGCTAGATTTAAGCAGGTTCTGCCTGGAACAGTGGCTTGAAAATCGGAAAAAAATCAATTTCGAAGTTGTAAGGTGGTCTCTTAAACTACCTCGCCATTAATAAGGTTTTATCATAAAATGTTAGTATTTTTTATGGTAAACAATTCCGATTTCCAGAAAATTTACTACTGGTGATCGGCCAGGCTAGAGTACATTAAAAAGATTTATTCTCCTCAGGTTTGAAGAAAATATATCTGTATAGTAAAAGTGTGCAGAGCCCAAACATATCTTTTTATCGTTATACTCAGCTTTATGAAACAGTGTCGGGATATTTTGTTCAAGAAAATACAGTCGTTTTGCTTTTTACGTTCGCTTCCTTTTCAAAAAGGATCACTACGGCGTTCTGTTGAAAGTGTAGCTTCTGAGAGAATATGTTAAAGTTTTTTAACGAGCTATTGCTCTAAACCTCCGTTTCAGGCTGAATCTACTTTTAAGATCTGTTTTCTCTTATCGATAACGATCTTTTAGCCCCAAGCAAAAAAATGCCTTTGAGATTATCTAGCTATAAAAATATGTTATCGGGCAATATCGGCTTGTGATAGCTAGCTATCCGTACCACTTTTATTGAGTTAGCTAGCTATATCGAGTATGATAGC